TAGGGGGTGGGGGGAGCATACACATCATATTTAGCAGGTAGGAACTGTGAGTTCATCGGTGGTCAAGTTTTCATAGTACTCTAAAACAGTGATAAGCAACAAAATGGAAAGGGAAAGCATGCATTCAAATGAGCATGTCCTAAAATGTTATTTTATTGATTTGTTTTTAATTTTGATTAAAGTATTATGATATTTCAAATAAGAATAAGATAGATACAGATATAGATATAGAACCAGTTGACAACTTAAGACTTCTGAAACTTGGAACAAACACATTAACAAAATGTAGACAAGTTATTTGGCATACTCTATAATCACAGATTAAAGAAAACAATGTATTTTCAGTAGGACAACAGAAGGCTAAAAGGGAATTTTTGCAAGTGTTTTTACAAGTGTTTCAGGGACTAAAAATTCTGTGTGAGAATATAAAAATTACCAGTTAATGGACTATTCATATAGCCTAGGTACACATGTGGACAGTTGTCTTAGCATGCTATGTCTTTATTTAGAAGAGAATGTCTCTCTTCTGCAAAGCAAAGAATTCTTTGAAGTGTGATCGCCTGGGAGTCTGAACGTTAACACGCACCCAGTTGTCAGGAGTCACTTCTTATTCATCTCTAACTCCTGGCTCCTTGCCCACGGCCTTATCCATGGTGGGCATGTGACACAAGGTCATTGTTTAACTTCCTGTTTAGCCTTAAGAGGTGGAGGTTCCAGCTTACTGTTGTCATTTACCTGGCTTAACAAAATACAGCCTATTTCTTTTGGAGGTAAATTACTTCAAACATGAGATCATAGGCTTCCACATTTCTATACAGGGATTTTCTTTTGAAGCAAACATAAAATCCTCTTAATAGTTCCAGTAAAATAAATGAACATAGAAAGCTTACATTTTTCCAGTGTCTGCTTTCCTGCAACCATATACTTCACCAAATCCTCCTCGGCCAATAATCCTATGTACACTGAAATCATTCATGGTCAACTATGAAATCAAAATACAAAGGAAAACAAAAAATTACATAAGACTATGTTGCTATAAAGATTTCCCATGCAACACATATCCAGTTTCTGATCTAGGGATCTACCTTGTCCTTACGCTGAAAGATGAGATGCACCAGGGTGGCCAGGCTTTCTAGAACCTCCTTCTGCTCTACCTCCAAAGTAAGAAAGGCACAAAAAGGAGGCAAGCGGGAAGAGGAGAGAGTGGGAACCAAGTAAGCTAGATTGATTTTCCACTCTTAAAAATCTTAGATCGTAAGACATATACCTTGAATACAACAGAGTGTAAAATTTCTAGTAAAATGAAAAGCAGCCTCAGCTATTCTGAAGCCTAAAGTTTGGGAATAACCCAACCATTCCAGGAACTGTCATGACAGAAAAGTAAGAGTCCATATTTTCATAATAGTGGGCCATATGATCAGAAAGCCCAACAGATGCAGGCCATGTGAACTTTTTATTGAAAAATCAGTGAATAGAGAGGACTCATGCTGGGCATGTGAGCATGAAACAAGACTAAATGTGAGGAAAGGACATACAGAGGCTTTATTCATAGGCACTCTCCCTTTGTCAATAATATCTCAGTAATGCCCCGTTTCATATGCAGTTTTAATAGTGTTCAGTGGTACAAAGACAGATAGTGAATCCTACGTTCATGGTAAGAAGCCCTCAGACAATGGCAAATGCTTAATAATTGATGTATCCTGGCAAATTAAGCATATGATTCTTTCCCCTAAACAACCCTTAAAACATCGTGTCTGCATCCTATCAGCCTGCATTGGGCCTACAGAATGCACGTTTGATACTCAGAGCCTACGAGGACCTAGGTCTGCTGAAGAAGCAGAAGCATAACAAAGATCCAGAGCAGGTATAGGGGATTTTAAAAATGTACGTTATTGCTTCTTGCTTCTTAGTCCTGCCAGGAAATATGATGGAAAGGGGAGGTTAAAAACAAAACAAAACAAAACAAAAACTCCCTCCAACAGTAGTAAGTACTTTGACAGTACCAGTCAAGTAAAAAACTAAAAGGAAAAAGAAAAAAAAAAAGCCCACTCGATTCTTCTGTCCAGTTGCAAGCCTATGTGAAGGCAGAATTCACAGAGCAGATTAGAGAGGCTATACAGAGAAATGTGCATTCTAAAAGTGAAGAAAAGATTATGCCTTGGAATTACTGGCATTGAACACTAAAAGAAGATGAAACACTACGGAAATGCATGTTAGAAAGTGGTCTGTATTTGAAGACTCCTTTTGTCATTCTCAAAATGATAAATAAGAAAATGAAACCGTGGTCTGGTAAAAGATGTCATCATTTTTATTACTACATCCAATTTTTATTATTATATCTAATAATAAGAAAAAGAAAAGGGACTTTACAAGAATGGCAAAGATAAGAACATATGGGAGTTATATTAAATAGAAGATTTGTATTTTCACTGCTATTTTTATTAAAGGGTCAATTACTGCTTAAAATAGCCTTTCTTATATAAATTAAGCACATTTTTATACAAATATGAAGAAAGAGAGTTAAAACTCCAATTGTTTATAATTAAGTATGGGAGAATAAATTTTTAATACATAAAGCTGTAGGAAAAACATCTGTTTGTGCAGTGTACATCCTTTGGGAGTATATTCCAGATTAAAGTATTTTCTCATGAGGTTAAGCCAGAGGAAGTTTTTATTTTAAAACAAGGGGAAAAAAAGATGATACTTACATGGATATTTAACTCTACGTTTTTCCACTGACAAAATCTAGTGAACTTGTCACTACAAAAGAATACAAGTAATTACTGAAAAGTTAAATAACAAATTAACTGGATTTATAGAACAATGTTATAAGATAAACTAGAATTGCACTATTTGTGTTGCTTCTCAAATTAAGTAAGTTTTCTTAAACATTTTTTCACAAAACATTTATTAGGATTCATGGCTTTATTTTACTATTCAAATGAAATATTTCATATTTGTCCTTTAATTGGTATATGCTATGGTAATACTTTTTTCCTGAATCACACTGTCCAATAGGGAGATAACATGAGCCACATATGTGATTTAATTTTAATAATATATTTTATGTAACTCAATATATCAAAAAACTATCATTTCAACATATAATCAATATGAAATTATTAATGAGATATTCTACATTCTTGTTTTTATATTAAATCTTTGAAATCTGGTGTGTATTTTGCACTAACAGCGCATCTTAATTTAGACAAGTCACATTTCAAGTGCTCAATAGCTGTATGTGGCTTGTGGCTACTGTATTGGACAGCACAGCTCTAAATGACAGTAAATTAAAGTTTACAAATAATCCTAAGAGGAGCAAACACTGAAATGGCGCTTACCATGTGCCAAGGCCTAGCTCAAGTTCTCCAGCAACTCTATGAGCAGCTGCTACTGTGATGCCCATTTTTCAGCTGAGAAGACCAAGGCATCAGAACATTACATGGCTTGGCCAAGTCCACACAATGAGAGAATGGGTGCAGCCAGATTTGAACCCAAACCACCAGGCTCCTGAGCATCTTCTTAATCAAAACTTAGCACTGCTTCTTAAAGACATTTGAACCCAGGCGAACAGACCCCAGAGCATCTTCTTAATCAAAACTTAGCATTGCCTCTCAAAGATACAGTGTAGAAGGGAACCCTCAGATTAGAACCCCAAGATGCAATAAGTCACACCGTGCTACATGCTCCCGCAATTTACTCAATGGCTTGACAAGTGTTTCCTTCATCCATGAAGTAAGAAAAATATCTATCCCATACCTATTTATTGAAGACATTATTTTGATTACTTTTTTATTAACACACAGCATATCTGTAAGGTATTTGTTTTAAAAAAGATTTTCAAAAGAAATGCATTCTACATTAAATGCTTCTGAAAAGCAATGTACATTTCTGGTGATAGTTGGGTCTCATTTAGCTCATGGCATGATTCCTTACATAGACACAGGACTCAAGATTCTTAGAATAAGGAAGGAAAAAGAAAGAGGGAGGTAGAGAGAGAGGGAGGGAATTCTTAGAAAGAGCAAGTTAACAGGTATTATCAGGTATTATCAGCACCATAATAGAATACCTTAAGACATCCAAATATCACAATTTTCTGAGGGCTTTATTTAATAGGCCTTTTAAAAATAAAGATCTTTTACAAATATTTCTGAAGCTAATAATCAAATTGATAATCAAAAACAGAAGAATTATTTGTAATTACATAGCATCTTTTTTCAATATATCTAAAATTACTTTTAAAGAGTGTTTCATTGATCCTCCTAACATTTCTATGAGCTTGGTAAAATAAAATTATGTTTTGAGAGTTTCTGAGAGTTATTTCAGTTTTTTTTTAAAGTATAGTGCATGCAAAAGACAAAACCACATTTGAATATACTCTGCATTTATTAATACATGACTGGTCTTTAAAATTCACTTGATTTGCTGGGCTAGCTCATACACTCTTTTCTCACAGACTCTGGAATTCGGAGTTGGTGATAGGGGATGGTGATCTTACACATTTTACAACTAGTTGAGGAGGGTTAACAAACCAGGAAGAGAAAAGTGCCTATATGTTTTGCCCACAAGTATGGATTTGCTGCAACAAGTTCCTTTTAGGACGTACAGATGGCCAGTGGATATGTAGGCTCAGTTGTGTCTCCATGGGGGTTACTTAAGCATATCCCTAATCAATACCTAGTTACTGAATGGGGCACTTTTTGACAGAAGAGGAACTGGCAGAGGAAAAGGTCTCAGCAACTATAGGGCTTTAGATAGCCAGAGGCCTTTCAGACAACTCACAAGATCTTCTCTGAGAGAGAAGATTGGAGGTTAAAGACACAGAAATGACCAGGATGCCGTAAAGATGGGGTAGAATAAGTGTCTCTAACTCTTATCACTGACTCAGCCTTGTACTGCTAAGTAACTCAAGTTCACTGTCTGAACTAGGCTTACAGGCCTCAATCAGAGATTCAGCCCCGCCAAGAATTCAGCCCTGTGTACCTGCCGGGGCTCAGAAGAAGGCAGAGACATGCCACTACATTACTGACAACTTCCTTTTACTGTCAGACTGCAGCATGGCCACCAAGAAATCACCTTAACCATGAGGCCCTTGGTGTGCTCAGTTGTGATAATGCCCAAGGCCACATGACCATATTTGTAGAGGGCCTGTGCTTTCGAAACCAAAACTCCAACTCATGACCTAACAATATTTTTTTTTCTAATTTGAGAATGTATTAACATAAAAAGGGTATAAAAATGAACAAATTGACCTTAAAATAATTTATTTACATAAAATTGTAACTGCTGCAGAAAATCCAGTGTGTGTGCTTGCCTAACATGCAGACAGCTTCAGTTGTATTTCTTCTGACAATATGAAATAGCTAACTCAGGGATGGAAAACGACTATGCATGTTAGCCTGGTGACAAGTGAAAGGAAGCACAGCAGAGTTACAAACATCAATGGAAAAAACCCTCCATCCCACTTTTAATTACCATCCTGCTCTCTCCCCTCTCCAAGGTTCACATAAAAGCTAGGTTGATCCAAGAGCTGGGAAAGGTCTGATTTAGAACCAACAGCAATGAAGACAGCCCAGGACTCAGCTGAAACTCAGCCCTGAGCCAACAGCCCACCCCTTCAGTTTGATTCTGTTGCTTTTTGGCAAAGTTTCTGCTACTACTCAGAAAAGTGTAATCAATTATATGAATAATAGTTTCCCAAAGTATGGACTCTACTCCAGGATAAAATTATCTCTTGAACTCTAGTAGAATCACAACACAACTTTTTTTTTAATTGCTTTAGTTCTGTGAATATGCAGAGAAGAAAACTGCAGTAAAGTAGCATTTGTTCTTAAAGCGCAATTACTGAGCAGCTGCTGGCTGCTCCAGCAATGAGACACAATCATCATGCCAATTGTCTAGAAATTAGTCGAGTTTATGGCGAAGATTCAGTTTTAGAAAGTCCAATTCCAATAGTGCATTATCACAGAGGCATACTCAAAAAACTTAAGAATTGACTGGTAGGAGTCTAAACAGCATATGAGCTGAACATTTTTATAGGCGTCATTTAAAAACTTCAAAATATTATATGACAACCATGCTCTATAGTTTGAGTAGTCCAAAGGGACATATATAGGAGGTATATTAATGATGTATATGAGCACAGACAGACATTGGCCTATGCCCCTCAATTCTATTACTACATAATCAAGCTTAGCCTTGCACCACTTTGGGAGACATGATTTTGAAATTCAAATAAATTAATCAAATTATAGTCATGCTTATATTAGCAAAGGTCTTCCAATAAGATGATACTTTTTCTTTTTTTTTTTTTACTTTTAGTTACGTAACTTATTTAAAATAAGTTTAAAATATTTTTTTAAATTAAATACATAATACTGATTATATTATTTTAGGAAAATAATCTAAATAATAATCTAAACTGTCATAAAAATAATACAATAATTTGTTACCTAGAATTTTTTTGCGTGCTCCCCTCATTGCTTTTATTTTTATTTATTTATTTTAAAATATATTCTATTTATCTATTAATTATTTTTTATTATGAATATTCATGAGATACAAAACTGATTGTCACCACTCATGCCCATGACATGAGGGCCAGAATCATACTGGCAGCATACCCGCAACAACATGGATGAGCCTGGAGAAGCTTATGTTGAGTGAAATAAGCAAAGCAAAGGATAAATACTGCATGTGCTCACTCATATGTGGGAGCTAAGAGAGAAAGAAGGAAGGATAGAAAGACCACAGTAGACTGTTGGTCTTGCAGAGGGAGAGAACATTCCTTGGGCTACAAAGTGGAGTGGTGGGGGAGGAGGAGGAAGGAGGGAGGTGATTGGGTGGGGGACACGGGGTACAAATGCAATAAGATACTTTTAAAGTTGTGGTTCCCTAGTCTATTTAAATTTTAGACCATATTGAAGCTAAAAAACTGAAGGTCAAAGAGGTGTTAAGATATAAAAACCCTAAAATTATAATGTAAAGTACTGAAGAAACAGTCTATTGCAAAGCCTGGTATATAGTACATGGTCAATAAATACATGTCAAATGACTAAACTAACACACACTTTAAGGACAGCACTTACTGGGTAAAATGAAGTACACCTACAAAATACAAGATTATGCATATATGCATAAAGTTTCATACCTTTCCATAAATTTTTGGAAAATGTCACCTCGAAGACTTTCACAAATTTCTTCTATGTATGGCTGGAAAGGATGGAAAAGAAATTCCACACTGCATAAATAGGAACGTATTAAAGTGAAAAACACAAACCAATGAGACCAATCAGGTGAGGTTCCCAATCATGCACTCCCATAGATAGCATCTTGTCCTTGTACTTGCACTTCCTGGTGCTTGCCCAGTTTTCCCTAACGGATTCATCATCACGATTACTTATTCAATAGTTATCTACACCACTAGATTCTGTGAAGACAGAGATAGGTCTGCTCTGTTCACCACTAATCCCTACTGCCTAGCACGTCTCCTGGCAAGTTATGGACATTTCTTAAATGATCAGGGCTAGCTTCACAGGTGTGCAACGTAAAAGGTCCCAGCATTTGGTTTAACATTCTGCCGCTGTAATCTCGAATTTCTTAATAATTTTTGAACAAGGTGCCCTGCATTTCCATTTTGCAATGGGCCCTGTAAGTTATGCAGCACGTCTTGTAAATTAATAACAGCATTTATAATCTGCATTAATATTTAGTTTTAAAGACTCAAAGCTAATAGATCCATGGAGTTAATTTTTTTTTTTAATGAGCTATGTTATCTATTGATTTTCTACCATGGGGGAGAGTTAATCCTACCCCCCATCTTGCACATAAGGAGGCTACAAGACTGGAGGTAGGTGTGTTCCCAAGGTCTTTGAACAAGTTCATGGCCCTTCCCCTCCTGGAGAACAACTGCATCTACTTCAACTTCCTGCCACTTTCCACAATACAAGTAAACAGCAGAAACTTTCCTTTTGCATGTGGTGAATTTTAAATCAAGAACTATAAAAATATAAAACGCCAATATTTCACAATTCAGCCTAAAGTTAATTAGATAGTTTTGGAAAATATCTTGATACCCTCAACTTGTTGAATAGTACAAACTTGATGTTTTCTGTGTCTTCACAGATTATCCTGAAAGTTTACCAAAAAAAAAATGACCAGGTCATGGAATAGTCCAAACCAAACGACAAGCGGTAGTAAGTCTGCAGAAGCCACAGTAACCAAACACAAGCTGTGAGGCCACCGCATCTCTGCTGGGAGCCTCTACTGGTTAACATGCATACCTCCCTAAACAGGATATACACACATATAACTTTTACGTATACTTTGATCACTATGCTCTGATTGTACATGTTATGTTGAATTGAACTCATACACTTTTTATTTTAATAAAATCAAAAATATTTCCTTCATTTTTGAAACAAGAATACCACCTGTTCTATATCAATTTCACCAGAATATTATTTGCATTCATTTTTAATGAACAAAACAAATCAGTTAAGTGTTTTTAAAAGATACACTGAAGAAAAAGCTTCTAAATGAATGTTCCTTGAAGGCATGAAAATAATCTTAGTGGTCTTTGTATTTCACCCGAAACAATTTTTTCAATGTCATATATATTACAGGAAAAGCTAAAATCAGAGTTGTAAAACCCATTTGTTAAGAGGCAGTTTAGCAATGTTACATGTAATTGACTATAAGGCTGTCTGTTTGCCATGGCAAAGTCAGCTTAAAACTGAAATTCTGACACTAAAATATCATGGGAACAGCAGAAAGCAGACATTTACATTATACTTTTGACTGTAAAATATTTGATAATAGCTAACACTTGTGGAGCTTGTGGTAGGCAGGTCCACATGAAGCAAACCATGTGTGCCTTTCTCACTGAATCTTCAAGACCCCCTTTGAGAGAGAGCCTCACAGATGAGAAAACTGAAATTGAGAAGATGCAGAAGGTTGCCCAGGGCCCCCCAGTATGGCTCTGGGATTTAAACTCCAGGTCAGGTCAATGAATTTCAGAGCCCAAGTTTATAATTGACTAAACTATACAGACAGGTCCTACATTTTATAAAAAGTCCATCTAATTATTTTAGCAGAAAAGCAACACTCAATTTTACCATCCAAATGCTCTAAGAGACAAATTAGTATTTTTCTCTGTAGAATAATCAAATTTATTTTGTATAAATACTACAAGATGCCAAATCAAAAGTCAACCCACTGTAAATGATTAAATAATCCAAGGAAAGGATAAATTAAATATTTTCATTTATGAAAATCATTATATCACTCAATGGCATTCTTTCATATTCCTTATAATGCATGGAAACATAAAAATACATTATCCGTTTGAGAATTTCCCTGTCCTTGCAAACCACTGCCACCTCTAAAGAAAACTCAGAATGGGAAAAAGGCTTCTGGGAAGAGGAAAAGCTATTAAATCTAAAGAACAGCAGATATATTGGCCTGCTTGTTGTGAATTTAGTTTTCCAAGTCTTGTCATTTAAGTCTACATAACTGTATTGCATCCAAGATATTAGTACCCAATGTAAAATACAATTCCTTGGTCATGACTCGAAGGTCATTCAAACATTCACTCTTGATTCTTGAAAATGAATCTTATTTCATCCTGAAGATCATCAATGCACCCTGGCACTACAAAATAAATCTTGAAAAGTTCTTGTTCATCACAGGTACCAAATGTCAAATGAGAAAAAGCTCTCTTCTTTGATGTCTTGTCTTGATTGGTTTATGAAACACAATGTTATTAGAAAGTTCTAGTGACCTTTTTCAAGAAAGCCTTCAAAGCATGCTGGTAGATGAGCACATTTCAATGAGAAGACAAGCTATATTAAACTTCAGTTGTTCCAGATAAACCTCCATAAGAATACAGTCGTACAAATCAATTCCTCTAGTACATTTGCACATGAAAAAAGAATGTCACCAAGTCCAACTGTTAAGCAAATTAGATGTATTTAAATGAAACAATTTTACCTCACCTGAAAAAGAGTCGATGTTACTTGTTTCTTGGAGAGATGACTTTGTACGTGTTCAACAGCTTGCTTTGAGAATGGCTTTTAGAAATCAAAAATAGTATTTTTTAGATAATAATAAAATGTAATAAACCTTTGTACATATACAATATCACAACAGATAATTTAACACAATTACAAAACAGTAACCTATGACAACTATATTAGCCATCATTCTTCAAAAATCTGTTAAATATTTATAAGCAATCCAAACAAATGCTTGTTCCTCTGGACATCCAGAGTTCTTAGACACATACCCAGAGGATGACAAGCATGGAGTACCTGACTAACATATCTAATCCCATAAGAGTTCAAGGTTGCTGTGATAATAAAGTGTAAGAATCCTCTTATCACCTAATTAAATGCATTCATCCTTCAATTAGCTGATAATAGGATTCTAAAAATATAAATTTGTATATATACGAAAATGAATGTATGAAAATACGCATGAGTATTAAATGCCAGGATTGCAAAGCCAAGTCAGAGTGGTAAGAGGCTCTAGTTTAAGAGAAGTCTTGCTATAACCACAGCACAGGAAACTGGTGCATAAAGAATAAAGCTGCTACTGATAAGAATTACAAACTGTATCCTCCCCCAAACTTCAAATTGTGTCTTCCTTAATAATGTGCAAGAAGAAGAAATGCTGAAAAACGATCACGTGGCTAAAAACCCTCTATATTATTTGAGCTAGGTGAAAACAAAGTTTAAAGAAGCTTTCCCATTGAACATCTGGCATCCTCTAAGGGTTCAGCCATTCCCCAGCAAGGTGGCAAGGCAAAGAGCATCACAATTATCTATAGCTCAGAAATTCTTTCTACTACGATCACTGTGGATCCAAAGAACGATAAAGCCATGCTAAAAGAGATGTCCTCTTTAGCCACAGTTACTCAGATGTCAGTAAGAATAGTAAACAACACAATGAATGCAGAGGCACTGAAATATATCATTATCATGACCAGTGCTGTCCAATCAGACTTTCTGCAATGATGGAAATGTTGTGTACCTGTGCTTTCTGATACAGGAGCCACTAGCCAGATGTGGCTATTGAGAACTTTAAATGTAGCTCATGAGGAACTGAGGAACTAAGCTTTTTATTCCATTTGATTTTAATTAATTAAACTTACATTTAAATAGCCACATGTGGCCAGTGGCTACTGTATTGGACAGAGCAGGCCAGGACTGTTAAGGCCACTCCTTTGGAAAGCAGTCTTAATCCAGAAACATTGAATGGTAAATTTTCATTACTAACTATTCCACTTACACCTAGTGGAATTAATTTCCTAGTTTATTCTAATAACCAAATTAGACTGTGTAACTGGTTTACAAGAAAAAAATTATTTCAACCATTATTTAACTATTAGTGATCAAAATTAACATAATAATTACAATCCCCCTTCTTGATTCAAAGAAACCATTTACGATTTATATTTACCAATATTTGATTAGCCTAAATGTTAAAGTATAGCTAAATTAAAAATAAAACAGATTAATTTCCTTTAGAAGAGCTAGAATTGAGATTAACATTTTTTTTTAATTGACCCAAATCAGCCATCACATTTCATCAATTTTTCCAGTGAAAGTATCAGCTTTTGGAAAGACAGTGAAACAACTGATAATGTGTCAGTATTAGCAGGGAACAAATGACAAAACAGAAGAAATGGGTTCCAATCTGGATACACATTTTTAAAATTTTTAAACCTCTTCCTACTATTTTACTTTCACTCTGGAAATAGCAAATGCAATCTCATATTCATTAGTACTAAAGTAATAGAAAAAAATGAAATACTTACATGTGAACAAGAAAGGAGCTCCTTCATGATATAGGCATCATAAATTTGTCGACTTCTACAAAGGCGGTCTTCCTCATTATCAAGCTTTTCATATTCTTTTATCTATATTTTTTAAAGTTAACATTGTTAAGTTATGTCTTCCCAGAAACTTATTTTATCATAAGATATTACTAGCCCAGGCAGAAACCACTTCCATGAGATAAACCAAATTAGTGAACCACCTATTCCATAGGAAATAACTACTTCTAAAGTTGTAATAATGAAGTTGGAATAATTTAAATTCAAAAAGAATCATACGGGGGAGAGGCAGGAGGGAGCAAGGTTTTGGTAATGGGCCACAATAATCAATCACATTGTATATTGACAAAATTAAATTAAATTAAAAAAACAAAAAACAAAAAGAATCATACAAATGCATTTTTTTCCCTGTAATAAACCTCATCACTTAAATGAAGAAACACAATATTCGGAAACAAATATTGCCATGGTTACAATTATCTTACAATATATGAGCCATGGACAATTCGTCCTTGCCAATTCTCCTCTCCAAAGCACAAATAATTCAGATTTGGCTTTAATTCAGTTCCAAGAGTTATGATGGGGATTATTCTCACTCAACTACAGTGTTCCAAAACTAACAGGAGAAATAAAAATATGATCAGAATTCCTCCAAAGATATTTCTAAAAATCAGCTAAAGCCAATAAATATATTAGAAAGTATAATTAATCCATAAATAAAACCATTGGCTTTTCAAGTTGGAACCTAACCCACACTGTAAAAGCATTAACAGAAAGGTTGCTTCAGATATATTTTGCGATACTTAGGAAAGGTCACCTAACTGTTGTTAAGGTAGGCTAAATAATAAAATGTGCTTTTGTAATATTTGCCTTATGTGGAAATGGTCACAATTGCTCTAACGTGATAACAGAAGGAATTGTTCCCATTTATTTACAGAAATACTTTTAACCCAAAAGGCAAGAAGAGAATAAAAACATAAATGAAATACGGAGCGAGGAGAAAGACTGCAGCAAGGATTTTAATACAGCAATTGATTACTATGTATGACTTACTTTTGAAAAAAATATTTTCAGTAGTTAACCACTTACTACATTAATTTTCATAATACCTGAGTGCTCTTTATTCTGGTATGATAAAAGGTGGGGCTAACTATTCCTATGGGAGAGAGTATAAACTGAATAGAAATAAAAGTTACCTTTTTACTTTATAGTCTGGGTTTGACAGTTTTGCAATCAAAACCAGCAATAATCCTATAAGAATTATTGATAAAGATAACGGAACAATTGGGGTGGAGGGATGGGTATGTGAAACGCTAAGTTTCCCTATGAGAGCTAGCTGGTTTATACACTAAGAAATCATGGGAACATCTTAATTGTCCTGAAATATTATCAGTGTTACACTGCAATAGCTGAAATTCACACTTCAGTTCTTGCCAGAGCATAGAATAGAGTTTTCTTGGAACAAACAATAAAACCTGACATAAGGCAGGTAGACAGGAGTAGGCTAATACCCACCCAAGAGGAAAAGACTGTCTCAATGAAGAATCAATATAGTAATTCTGGCATAACCAAAGGGCCTGGGCTTACCCACCCTAAATCAATTCAGAAGAGCAAGTCTACAGGGTGCAAACACCATGCAAGATGCAAATATGGTAGCTGAAAGGTAACAGGAGCCAGACACCAAAATTCAAAGTAGACTAAGAAAACAAAGGATTTTTGTCTTGGTTGATTCCTTTTGCTGTGTTTTATTTCTGACAGGTTCAAAGGTTAGTGCCAGAATGCTGGGATATAACAGGTAGACTGCTACTGAACCAAAGGCAAAGTTTCTACCTCAACATATGAACAACCTCAAGGATTAATAAACCTTCATAGAATTATTATCCTTGTAAACAAGGGTAATGAAATGTAAATCTATGTTACAGGAGGCCCATAAAGCAGATTGACACCTGGTTAAACAAATGCCCATTCTACGGAAGTTTCCATGAACTATTAAATTCTGATTATACAGACAATTCTAGTCTCTTGGACCTAGTTTCTTGGATGCTCTGAACCACAACACTGTCTTCACTAAGAGCCTTTGGCTTTATAAACTCCAAATGGAAAAACAGAAAAAGGCAACTCTCAATAGACAAAGTAAGAGCCTAAAGTATCTGTGGCTGTAATTCAGAATTCACTTTCTATCATCAGTGGGACCACTAATTAAAGAAAATCCAGTCAACTACCAGTTCACTCTAAACAGGATGTCTTTATTGCTACATATACATAGCAAATGCCATCTCTGATTCTAGCAGTTCAGTTGTACAGGTAACCTGAGCAGGCAAACCTCTAAGTTCAAGGTGAAAACTCTTCCCTACTGCAGGATAAAAACATTGTCATCAATAAAAAGCATTTACTTATCATGTAGTCCCTTCCTGCTTTGGTGGTTACACAGCACACAGCTGAACATGCAGCTTAAATAACCTGAGCAAGCACTTTAGGTCCATAGCTGTCAGGGTCTCCACTTTCTCACCTCCTGTTGGTTCCACCTCTGTTCTAGTGAGATGGGTTGGTAAAGTCATTAATAGTCTCTGCCTTGCCCAGTCCACAGCTCTCTTGTCCTTTGTTTCACTGACTTGTCAGCAGCATTTAACTCAGTTGTCCACTCCTGCCTTCTTTGAAACTTTTGCTGACTTCTGTGATCTACCCCAGGGGTCTGCCACATGGGCTCCTTTTTGTCAGTCTCCTTTGGCAGTTGTTTCTCCTCTGCTTGACTTCTAACTACTGAACTGCCTCAGAGAATGGTGCTGAGGTACCCCTTTTTCACTAGTCACATCCCCCTTGAGTAAAGAAATTCAGTCTCACAGTTTCAAATACCAACTATATTCTGATAACTAAATCTGGATCTCTACAACTCACTTCTACTCCTGAGCTCCATTTTCTAAATATCTAACAACCTATTTGACATTTCTAGTTGAATATCTGCAAAACATCTCAAATTCAACATGTCTAAATAAAACCTCCACATCCTTTCTTCTCCAGCTAAATATGCTCCCCCACCAGTGTTCTTTATCACACAAATGAGTAAAACCATCCTCCCAGTTGCTTAAGCCAAAACATGATTGATTGATTCTACTCTTTTGCCCACACTGCTGCCACCACCACCCACTCCATTCAATTCATCAGCAAATCATGTTTGCTTTGTACGCAAAATATATTACAAACCTAGGCACTGTTTCTGGTAAGAGCTAACTAACTCCTAACAAAACAATCCTCCTGAGATAACAACAATAAATTCTGGACATATATAAAACACAACTATATAATGGCATTGGAGAGTGACCAAAAGTAGATGGATAATGGAGAAGGGTCATCAAGCAGAAGCTATAAGAGAGGATATTTCTGAAAATAGGCATAGAAAACAAGCTCCAAAGTTCTATGTATAAATTCTGTCAAAATCTCTGCTGGATCCCATAATGACACATGAATATGGCAAACCCCAAGCAGCCCAACTATGGCTAAAAGAACTGAAGAAGATTCAGTTGCAACCCACTTCAGAGAAGACACAACTTAGACTGTGAGTAAGCCAAGTTAACTGCCTGATGAAACAAAGTAAAAAATTAACACCCTTTCAAGGGGCATATGAGAGTTCAGAATGTCTACACTATATAAATTACAGTGTTCAAGATACAATCTAAAATGACTCTACATATGAAGAAACAAGCAAATGTTAACATATGCAAGAGAAAAAACCATCAACAAAAACCAATCCAATATGACCCAGATGTTGGAATTATTAGACCAGGATTTGAAGACAGCTATTATAAGTGGACATAACAGAAAGAACGTAACAGAAAATATTCATGTAATGAATAAAAAGATAGGAAATAGCAAAAGAAACATAATAAAAACCATCAACAAAAACCAATCCAATATGACCCAGATGTTGGAATTATTAGACCAGGATTTGAAGACAGCTATTATAAGTGGACGTAACAGAAAATATTCATGTAATGAATAAAAAGATAGGAAATAGCAAAAGAAACATAATAACTATGAGAAGAACCAAATGGAAATTTCAGAAGTAAAAAATAAAGTATCTGAAATAAAACATTCAATGGATGGACATAATGGGTGCCAAAAGAAAAAGTCATTGAATTTGAAGATGGATCCATAGGAATTATCCAATCTGAAGAGGAGAAAATAAAATATTGGGGGAAAAATTGAACAGGGCAGCAGGGGTAAATAGTACAATATTCAAAGATCAAACAAACATATAATCAGAGTCCCAGAAAGAGAAGAAAAATAGGTTAAGAAAGAAAAAATGCTTTAAGAAATAATAGCCCTAATTTTCCCAGATTTGATGAAAGACATAAATTTACAGATTCAAGAAACTCAGCAAACCCCAACAAAGGATAAATATAATATCTAAAATTACTCCACTAAAAAGCATAAATTGTCAGAATGAAGAAACAAATAATCAAAACACTTTTATATCTGTCTAAAAGAAACACACTTTACACATAAAGACACAGGTTGAAAGTAGATAGATGGAAAAAGATACATCATGAAAGTAGAAAGCATAAGAAGACTGATAATCAAAACACTTTTATATCTGTCTAAAAGAAACACACTTTACACATAAAGACGCAGGTTGAAAGTAGATAGATGGAAAAAGATACATCATGAAAGTAGAAAGCATAAGAAGACTGAGTGGCTATATCTATATTAATATCTAGTGAAGCCAATTTCAAGACAAAGAATATTACCAGAGATAAAGGGGGACATTTCATATGGAAAGACATAATCATAAAAGTGCATGCTCCTAATAATAGAGCTTCAAAATACATGGAAAAATTTGACCAAAAAAAACAAGAAGAAGAAATAGACACTCTATTATCAAAGTTGGAGATTTTAACCCCTTCTCTCAGCAACTGATAGAACAATTAGATATAAAATCAATAGAGGCGGAGAAGATCTACCATACCAACTACCTTAACCAAATTGATATTTATAGAGCACTACAACTAACACACCTGTGTTTTAAATTTTCCATGGGCTTTACAATAAAGTCTAAATTTGTTACTCTAGCCACCAAAACCCTGTCT